CTTCCGCTGACTGACTGTGGACTCACCGCTATCCTACCGACGGTGTACTGCGGTTGCACTGCGGTTTAGTCCACCACTTGCCTCACCACTTGACCACTTGCCCACTTGCCTACCTTCTAGAAGGTCTACAGCTAAGCTTCCGGAACTCACTAAGACTCCTACGCTACAGACCTACAGATCGAACCCCTGCTGCCTATGGACCTACGACAGGCCTACCAACTGCCTACGAATACACAGGTCACAGGATCAATTCCCGGGGCCCACAGAGATACTGTACATGGGTAAGGTGAGGGCTAGGGATCGAACCCTTGGTACTGCATCCGCTACTGCTAAAGGTGAAAACCGTTTCACAAGTCCACGGCCTTCCGGAAGATCCTAGTGTGGCCTTTAGATGTTGCTCACGATTAGGCCGAGGCAAGTGGGCAAGTGGTGGAGTCTACCCGTGCTGAGTCAGCAGTCCCAGTCCCAGTCAGTCCTAGTCCAATCCAGCAAGTACCGTATGGGACTGTGTGCACCAGGGACATGGAAAAGGGTCAGACCAAGGAGCTACAGAAGTATAAATTGAGAGGCAGCGACCAGCCATTCATTCATTCCTGTGTAAGCCATGCGGAAGCGCTGCCAACAGCGGCTTGTGCGAGGTGGTCTGCAGATGCACCCGAAGTTGAAGTGGGCTGACGAAGAGTAGTGTAGCCATAGCGATAGAGTAGAAGCGGCCATAGCCACCATAGCTGGTAGTGAAGTGCAGTGTGTGTGTGCGAGTGTACAGAGTTTGTGCTGTGTGAGGTATCCAGGGCGGTCCTGTGTGCGAACAGCAGTGTCGAGTGAGTGAAGACAGAGAGTTGTACGGGCGATGTGCGGCCATAGCCAGTGGAAGTGAACTTGTATCTGAATTGAGCTCTTGGCACCATATCTCTGAGTTCTGAGTGGGCGCTTGACGCCAGTTTGCTGCGCAACCTGTTTGCATACATGTGAAGTGTGAATGAATGGGAGTCTGATTGCAAAAGCTTTATTTAGAGAGTTTGTCACCACCCTCGGTCCGACATACCCTAGAGGGCCCCCCCCTCGCCCCCCTCTTCAGACAGACCCGAGCCGATTTGCTGAAAGACAGACCCGATTCTGAAACACCTTGGGGTGTGTTGTCGTCCGGGCCCCAAGTCCCACTTACGCTGATCCTTGATATCTGGTCGTTGATCTAACAAATCTGCGGTCAGAAATCGATCAATTGAGGACTAAGTGGGACTTGGCCCCGGGGGAAGACAGTAGCTCAGTTGGCACTCGTACACCCCCCAACTGCTGAAAGACGGACCCCAGTTTGAGCTCCACTAAACCAAAACAGAAAGGTTTTCACATGGGGGCTTTCCACCAAGTATCCCTACTAACGCAGTACTATTCTGAATTACCAAGAGCGTGTCAGTTGGGAGATAATATTCTCAGAAACCCTAAAGGGCCAAAAACCTTTTTTTTCTTTCAAAAAAGAAAAAAAAAATTAAAAGGGTTGCTCTCAGCTTCTTACCCTCATCATGTATCATGGTGTTACTCATAGTAGTCCAGGGCCGAGGTCCCACTAGCAAAGAGGATTGCATTAAGCTCCTGAATCTGGACGTGTTTCAACCAGAGATTCATAAAAGCAGTTCAAGCTCGATACTCTGCACCTTCGCACAAACGCGTCCAGATTCAGGCGTTCAATCCAATCCTCTGTGCTAGTGGGACCTCCGCCCAGGGTTGCACTCTGCGTCCTGCTCTTATCTCACCTTGATTGCGATTCTCTCTCTCTCTTTTTCTTTTTTTTTTTGACTCGCCCCCATTATCGCTCTCAGTCTCCCCTTCATTTGGATTGCCACATCCGCTCACAGGGGTCACAGCATATCGCCTGTCTCTTATACACATCTAGATGTGTATAAGAGACAGGTGCTAGTGGGACCTCCGCCCAGGGTTGCACTCTGCGTCCTGCTCTTATCTCACCTTGATTGCGATTCTCTCTCTCTCTTTTTCTTTTTTTTTTTGACTCGCCCCCATTATCGCTCTCAGTCTCCCCTTCATTTGGATTGCCACATCCGCTCACAGGGGTCACAGCATATCGCCTGTCTCTTATACACATCTAGATGTGTATAAGAGACAGGTGCTAGTGGGACCTCCGCCCAGGGTTGCACTCTGCGTCCTGCTCTTATCTCACCTTGATTGCGATTCTCTCTCTCTCTTTTTCTTTTTTTTTTTGACTCGCCCCCATTATCGCTCTCAGTCTCCCCTTCATTTGGATTGCCACATCCGCTCACAGGGGTCACAGCATATCGCCTGTCTCTTATACACATCTAGATGTGTATAAGAGACAGGTGCTAGTGGGACCTCCGCCCAGGGTTGCACTCTGCGTCCTGCTCTTATCTCACCTTGATTGCGATTCTCTCTCTCTCTTTTTCTTTTTTTTTTTGACTCGCCCCCATTATCGCTCTCAGTCTCCCCTTCATTTGGATTGCCACATCCGCTCACAGGGGTCACAGCATATCGCCTGTCTCTTATACACATCTAGATGTGTATAAGAGACAGGTGCTAGTGGGACCTCCGCCCAGGGTTGCACTCTGCGTCCTGCTCTTATCTCACCTTGATTGCGATTCTCTCTCTCTCTTTTTCTTTTTTTTTTTGACT